CGGTCCCTGGTGGGGGGCGTGCGGGAGGCAGCCAGTCAATGATTCTCTCTCATCATTGATGTTTCTATCTCTCTTTCCCCCTTCCTCTCTGAAATCAATAAAAATATATTAAAAAAAAAAAAGAGGTGAGCTCCACTTCTGCAGGGAGCCAGGGCCAGCTCTGGGCTGTGGTGCCTGCGCTGTGTCATGTGTGCACCTGGTGTCTGACCCCAGGCAGGAGAGCAGCACAGGGAGGTCGAGACAGACCCTTGGCGGCCCCACCGTGAGGCCGGGGCTCTGCAGTCAGGCCTGGTGGATGCTCCTCGCTAGCCAACCACTCACATGACCTTGGGCACAGGCCTCAGGGAGCTGTGTAAGAAGGCCCTGACCCCTAGGAAGCTCCCTCAGGGGACGTATGCTGGCTGCTTTAATAAGCGTAATCCTCTGAAAATCCCTCCGATGTCTTTCCTATCTTCCAGATGAAGTGTCAAACCAAGGCTGCCCTCTCAGGCCTATCCTCTTTTATCTCATCACCACCCACAGGCACCTCCCTGGGCCTTGCCTGCCCTCGCTCCCCCCGGAGCTGGTGGTGCTCTGCAGGGCTCCAGGCTTTGATGGGCAGGCTCCTGGCAGGCCGTGGCAGAGCAGGGCAGGCCTTCGCTGGGGCTGAGCCTCAGGGGAAAGGTGCAGCCGCCGGCTGGAGGAGAGAGAAGGGCCTGGGGAGGCCCGAGTGGTGACAGGGAAGGGGCGGGAGAGGATTACAGTTAGGGCTACGCTCTGAAGCTTGTCTGCCAGGCCAGGGGTTTGGGTTGTCTGCCCTGAAGGTAGGAGGCACAGCTCCTCCTGGCAGTTGTGGCCTCCAGGCTCCTGTCCCCACACCCTCCCTCCCCTGGTGCTCCTGCCCCTCCCCGCCTCCCCCCACTCCATGCCTTCATAGCCTCTGCCTAGGCCAGTGATGGCGAACCTATGACACGCGTGTCAGAGGTGACACGCGAATTCATTTTTTTGTTTGATTTTTCTTTGTTAAATGGCATTTAAATATATAAAATAAGTATCAAAAATATAAATCTGTTTTATTATGGTTGCAAAGATCAAAAAATTTCTATATGTGACACGGCACCAGAGTTAAGTTACGGTTTTTCAAAATGCTGACACGCTGAGCTCAAAAGGTTTGCCATCACTGGCCTAGGCTGAACACCCCCCCCACCCCCCCGCTGTATCTACTTGGAAAAGGATGCACAGGTGGCCCTTGGGGTGAGGGACCCCAGGGTAAAGTGGACGGGGACGTGGGTTTGGGGCCTCGCTCTCTACCCTCAACAAATAGCCCAGCCTCTCTGGAGTCGATTTCACCCATGAAGTGGGCTGAGAGGCAAGTGTGTGGGACATTCAGGAGCAGGCCGGCCCAGCCAACGCTCAGTGAGGGGTGTCCAGGACTCTGGGTAGCCCTGCTTTTTCTCTCCTTTCAACCTCCATCTGTCCTCCCGATTGGTGGGTCCTGCCCTGGACACTGAGCAGTGCAAACAGCCCTCCCTCCCCCAGCCCAGTGATAGCAGCTGGCCTGGCCTCACTGTTCTCTAAGGGAACCTCCTCCCCAGCGCACGCCCCTCCTCGGTCTCAGACCCAGAGACACTAAGGCGGCAGCCAGGAGCATGCTGCTTTGAAGAGAAGTCCAGGGTCATGGGGGCAGCACGCTGTGGTCACGGTGGGAGGCTCCTGGCATCTCTGCCTTGAGGTGCCCCGCTCAGGAGTGAGCATGGGAATGGGCCCAGCTGGGGGAAGAGGAGGAGGAGGCAGGAAAGACCCAGCCTTACCACCGTGCCCGGGCCCCAGCGTTCATCTGTTGGTGGGCAGGAGGTAGACAGTTGTTTGGGGGGCCTTTCCAGCTGCTGTTCTGTGAACTAGCACTTTTCTCTCCCTTCCCCATCCCAGTGAGAACCCCCTGCCCACGGTGGAGATTGCTATCCGGAACACAGGGGATGCTGACCAGTGGTGCCCGCTGCTGGAGACCCTGACGGATGCCGAGATGGAAAAGAAGATCCGTGACCAGGACAGGAACACAAGGTACTCTCCCCTGCCCCCCAGAACCCCTGTAGCTGGCTCTGTCCACAAGCACCGGCTTCCAGGCAGGTACAGAACCATCACTCCCCCTGTGACCCAGTTTCTTTCTGGGAGGGCGCCTGTGCGCCCCTAGAGTACAGGTTTCAAACCCTGCATGGAGCGAAAGCAAGCCCTGAGATTGGGTCTGACCACAGCCCAGACCCAGGTTTCAGGACCCTTGAGGTGGGCAGGGCCTGAGCAGGCAAGTGAGAGGACAGTTTCAGGGCCCAAGCAGCACATGGTCAAGGCCACGGGAAGGGAGGGACTGGGAATCCCACCCGCCACGTCCTGTCTGTTTCCACTCCCCAGCTGCCCTAGAGAGCCCGGGCGGGGGGGCCAAGGGGGTGGGCAGTGGCCCAAGGCTGGGAGCTGGCCCTGGGTCACCACCCTTTCCGCCCCTGCAGGCGGATGAGGCGTCTCGCCAACACTGCCCCAGCCTGGTAACCAGCCCGTCAGCGCTCGGCTCCCACACAGCGTTCAGAAGACCAACCTGCCTCTCCATCTTCTGGCAAAGAGGGAGGCGAGGGGACAGCCCAGGGCCATCCTGAGGGGCACGGGCAGGCGGGAGGCCTTCCAGGTCGCCCTCCCCCAGCAGTTTCCATTTGCTGAGCCCTAGTCCCCACCCCCATCCCTGATCAGGAAGAGGCTTCATTTTGGGTTGTTTTGTTTTTGCATAGAAGCCCCAGGAAGGGCTAGCAACACTTTTTAAATAAAAGGCAACAGGTCGTGTTCCGTTTCTTCAAAGTGGCTGCATAAAAATAATAGGGAGCAGGGAGCGGGCCTGGGTGTTGGGGGGGGGGCGGTGGCCAAAGCTGACATCCCAGCCTCACCCTGCTCCACCTCCGATCCCCAGGTGGCTGTTGATGGGGCTCCATGGCTCCACTCTCAGCCACCCCAGCCCCTGCAAGACCGAGGCAGAGTATAATCCTTGCTTTTCCTTGGGCCCTCCAGCTTCCCCACCTCCACCCATGCTTGGATCTCTGTAGAGCAGGAGAAATGAAAGGTGTGGTCATGAGGCTCAGTGGGCAGGGGGCCCACTTGTCTGTTGGTTGCTGCCCCTCCCCCACACCATTCGCTCTGCTGTTCAAGGTGACCGGGCCATCCCAGCCAGGGCATTGCTTCTCTGGAGTCCCTTGCAGAGGCCCCATCCTCTGTGGACACTGCAAGGGCATCCCCAGCCTGGGTGCCTGTGCCCAGCTACTCCAGCTCCAGCAGGTGTGCAGCATTTAGCCACACCTCCCAGCAGTGTGCATGTAACAGGTGGCCTGGGCCCCACCTCCACCCCGGGCTGGCACCTGGCCCAGGCCAGCTCCTCCCTCCCAGGCTGGCTGTGAGGATGATAGCATGTGGAGCAGCACACCTGGCTGGTGGTGGCTTGTGGGGTGGGGTTATATGGAGAGGAGGCACGCCCTGGGCCTCTGCCCAGCTCTACCTTCAATGAGTTTGTCGCCACCTCTGCATCCTCACCTCATCTGTTAATGTGGGGATGCTCCCACTCTGCAGAAGGGGCATGGGGCACGTGTGGGTCTCACCAAGTCAAGCATTGCTTGGTGAACGGGGCACACAGCTGCACTTACTAAAGACAGTGGGCCAGACCCCCAGCCCTGGGCTGGTGCCACCTTTAGTTCTGGCACATCCTTCCCCGGCCAGGGCAGGGCTGAAGGTCAGGACTGCTCTGCTCCCCAGGAGCGTGACAGGGGCCCCGTGGCACTTGGTTCCTAGCCTAAGTAGGAATTGGGCTCTGGGTTGCCAGGACGTAGGGTAAGGTGGGCCTTGCTGTCTGGGCCGGGGTTCCTGTGAGCATGTCCCAGGACGTGACAGCTCCCAGGGGGTTGTCCACAGGCTCCTGCCCTTCCTCCAGGAGTGGAACTTGCTGGGCCTCATTGGAAGGCTCTGACAAAGATGAGTCTAGGCCCCGTTGCTTTAGAAACTAGTGGGTTCCATTAACAAGGTGTTTGCTCGATCTGTGGGCAAACAGCCCTGGGGCTCCACAACTGGTGGACGGAACAAACCCTGCCTGCCTCAGTCCCACTGGGTAGGAGCCCAGCTGCCTGGGAGAGGCCTGGGAAGGGCCCGCGCACCAGCCCCGGGTCTGAGCCCACACTGCTGCAGGGTCGGCTGCTGCTCCATGAGGGTTCCCTACAAAATCAAGGTCTACTCTGGCAAATATTTCTGTCTTCCATGAACATGACCAGCCCTGTGCTTCTGGACATCCTGGAATAAACCGTATTGCAGGCTGGTCTAGAGCAACAAAGAAAGCTGGCCAGGCCATCCGGTGCCCACTTTACAGAAGAGAAGAGTGAGCTGTGGGCTGGATAAGGCTGTGGTCCTCGGCTACAAAGGCAGGGACAGGACACCCAGAGGCCTCGGCCTCAGCCAGTGCTAAGGTGGAAACTTCTCCAGGAAGCAGAGCCCAGCCCGGCTCCTCTGCACTGACCTCCCTCATGGGGCCGTGGCTGCATCTGTCAGTCACTTGTCTGTTAGTCGCTCAGCTGGGAAGTGGGGCAAAGGTCCACTTGTTGGTTGTTCGTGAGGGCACCACAGGCAGGAGTCCCCCCCCCCCAAACCAGGCTTGGCACAACCAGACAGCCCAGTACTGGTCCCTGCCACCAAGATCTGGCCAACCCCCCTGGCTGGCAGAGAACAGGCCCACCACAGGTGGCATTTGTCCAAGTCTCCACTGAGGCACTGGAGAGGCTTGAAAACCCCGTGTCTACCATCTGTGAGCTCAGAGCTCTGCTGGGCAGCTGTGGGCAGCTTTTTGACCCACTGAGCCTCCCATCCTACCACCTACAGTTGGTCTGAGAGAGCAGTCCTGGGCAAAGGGTGGGCAGGGAAGTCCAGGCTTCGTGGCCCCAGGTCAGGGCCAGCAGCATCTGCCCAGCACGGAAGGGTGTGGCCAGGGAGGCAAGGGGAGCCAGTGCTGTGGTCCAAGAGGCTGCAGTTATTGTTTATTCGGATGGCCAGCCTCCAGGACAGGTTGCTCTGCTGCAAGCAGGAGTTAGGGTGGGATGCAGGCTTTTCAGATGTTGGAGAAACAGGCTCCTGGGGCTGGCCTGCCCTGGGTGAGGTCACTGCTGCAGGGGTCCTGGCTGTTCCTCGGGGAGGGGCAGGTAATTGGGGTCCTCTTCTGGGGCATCCAGTAGCAGCTTCCTGTGGGGAGCAGCCCAGGTTGAGCTGAGGCCAACGTGGTCCAGCAGGGAGTTAAGAGCTGTCTGAGGGAGGGCAGCTGCAGGGCTGTCACCCCCAGTACTCACAGGAAGCCGGGGGTCAGCAGCAGCCTCTTGCCTCCAGGCTGGTTGGGAAAGACATCTTCCAGGAAGTAGTAGATGTGACCCACAGCAATCCCTGTGGGAGAGCGGAGGACTGCCAAGGCCACTGCCTCCATGGCCCAGATCCCAGGGCCAGCACAGCCCTGTTCTGGGCTTCCATGTGCAGCTCTGGAGGCCTAGTCAGGCCCAGAGAAACCTCAGGCCTCAGAGCATGAGTGCCCAATGGCCTGCACAGACCCCACAGGGTTGGCCCTGAAGGACAGTGTTCCAGGACCCAGGACCTGAGAACAGCGGAGTGGGCGCCATGGCGGGAACGCTGACCTACCTACCCCACCCCAATCAGGACTCACACAAGCATCAGCAGATGAGGCCTGAAGATGTGAAACCTGTAGGCCTGCTGGCTTGTTCAAGGGGCTATAAGAATGGAGATGCTGGAGGTAGGGGGATGGAT